GGGTTCTCCCTTATTTTTTCAGGTTCAGGATTTAATTTTACTGGATGATAATACAGGGTCAATCTTTTGCCTAGGACTGTCTTCCGAATCTTCCTCTTGGGGGACTCCTATGGGTGATAAAATAGGCTCAACTATCTCCCTCACAATGCAAGGAAGGGCCTTAAAAAGAAAAGCAAATTCTTTGTCAGTCATTCTCCAACCAAATCATCCAACTCAACATACTCTTCAGGGATCAACTCTTCAGATTCAAAGTTAAGCCCCTCTACTGCCCTTGACATATCTTGAGGCTCATTGTATAATTGGCTAACTAACTGCCCCACTTGATTTTATATGTTTATAAGGGCATCAGTTTGGATTTGTAACTCATTCCCTAAGCTTATCATTTTCTTCCAAATATTTATTTTCTCCAGGGTAGTCACTATCATGGTTATTCCAACTTGCTACAGGATCGACTTGGGGGCTCTCCAATTTTTGGTTGTCTAATTTAAGGTTATTATTGTTCCAATTGAAGTTGGGTAGGTCAACCAGCTTTGGGTTTTGGTATTTGATTCATTCCTCAAATTTACTAATGACGGGTAATTCTCTTTAAATTAGGGATTCAAGGTATCTTCCCGAGGTTAAGTGTGGAAAATATGGTCCCTGCCCTAGCTGCTCTAATTTTCCACAGATTTGGCTTGCGTTCTCCTCCAAACATAGTTTTCTACATCAATGTTATTAATGTTCCAATCAAATTTTGGCTAAATAGTTTAGTTGGGGTTGTATGTATTGGAAAACGGATTATGGGCATCATTTCCTATGACATTACGAGTCTCTAAATTACATATGCTAGGATATATCACCAATCCATGAATCAACCCATCATTTAATGGAAGTCTTTGCATCAGATTCATCATCAGATTATCTAATTTCTTAGAAAGTACAGCTACTTGGGTGGTCAGAATAGCTAAGATAATAGTTTCAAGAACACGGGCTACTTTCTGGGGTGTAACTCTTTCAGCAAGCCATTATAAATTATTGGTGATTATTTATTTTATTAGTTGTTAGGCTTCATCAAAAGGTTTAGACATTAAGGATCCACATGCCGTGACAACTATGATCAATCTTAGGGAACCTACCAATCCATTGTAAAAATTTTGAATTATCAGCCAATCATGTAAGACAATATGTTGTCACTTCCTAAGTAATTCATTGAATCTTTCCCAAGCTTGAAAAAATGGACTATGTATCTATTTGTATGAATGAATTGATATCATTCCTAAGCTTTACAGTTTTAGATGGATGAAGATATTTGTCCAAGAACTTATGTGCTAAGTCATTCCAAACTGTGATTGATCCTGGGGCAAGGGAATTAAGTCATACCTTCGCCTTATCCCTTAGGGAAATGGGAAAAACCTCAGTTTAACGACATCATTGGTGACACCATTGTACCGGAAGGTGGCCTAAAGTTCAAGAAAATTAGCTAAGTGTAGGTATGGGTCTTCAGACGAAAGCCCCCCAAACAGGTTATTTTGAATCATCTGGATTATGGCAGATCTCAATTCAGAAGTGTTAGCTTCGATATATGGATAGTTAAAACTCATGTGAACTTTTTTGATAGAAGGATTGTTGTATTCCTTAAGTGGTTTTATGATGGGTGTGTTAGTGTTAGCCATCTCAAAAAGTATTTTAGGAACAAATTGTGACTCCTAAGACATCTAAAAGTGCGATCAATCTCAAGGTCAAAAGGGGTGAGGTCAACCTCAGCTCCCCAATGCATAAAAGAACAGTTTAAAATTATGCAGCACATAAACATACTGACCCACACAAGCCGATCAACAAGCTCACATGCAAATTCAACACTTAATATACAAATTAAAAGAGAAAGAAATAGAAATAATTTAATGACATAATTTTCTTTTGCATTTTTTTAGCTTTTTCAGCAATTTATTTTTTTCAACACCTGCAATAAAAAAAACAACAACAATACAAGTACTAACAAATTTGAAAAAAATAAAAAAAAAAGAAAAACTGCTAAACCTAGATTCTCCACAGTTTAACTAAGGTTCTCCAAAAATCAAAATTCTTCTTAATCTTTCCCTGACAACGATGCTAAAAACTTGACACAACAAAACGTACTAGGACGTAAGTCGGTCATACAATGCAAGTGCATGTGTAAAATAGTAATGTGGTTAAAGAATACCGCAAATCGATCCCACAAGAAAAGGGCTAAGAACTGTTATAATGAGCAAATTTCTAGTTTACAAAACTTTTAAACTAAGTTTAACGTGATCACAAACAAAATATTGTTTCCTAAAATCCTGCTTAAAAGAAATAACAAAAGATATCAAGGTTGGAGAATATAAAAAATAATGGTAAATAAAACTTATATATCTTCAAGATATATGAGGCTTGTGCCCCTGTGATTTACGTAATGTAGCGATTCATGATATTCTTAAACTTTTCCTAACGTGATTGTTGTCAACAGGGATAACAAGTCCTACTTATGTATATGTCTTGGTCAAAAGAAGGCTTGAAACCATAAAGTTGAGGCTTCCTTAATCCCCATGGCATCCTGCGAATTTGTTATGATCCCATTTTTACTTTGTAAAATCAAGATAAAATATGTCTATTATTACCTAGATTTTGTGGCTAACCATTCTGTTCCTCTGTGCAAGGAGTAGGAGTCACAGATCATGAAATATGTTAACATCATAATTGATTAAAACTATGAAAAAAATCATAAAACCACATTCCATAAATCACAGAGGCGTAAAAAAAGTTTAAGTGCACATGATAGAAAGAACACAAGAAAAATATCTCATTAAAACTATTGTTATAAGTAAAAAAGTAAACACTTACAAA